CATCATTCAGCTCCTGAAAACATTAAAAGGATAAAAGAATGTTATGAACAAACTCATGCCAATAAATGTACCAAGTAGCTGAATCATATACTTTTATTCACACAATTTACTGAAACAGATTCAAGAAGAAATAGAAAAAATCTGACAGCCCTATTTCTATTAAAGACACTGAATTCCTAATCAAAATCCTCCCCATAAAGAAAACTCCAAGCCCATGTGGATTCACTAGTGAATTCTGTCAAATATTTAAGGAGGCATTAACAGTAACACAAAAACTCTTTCGGAAAACAGAGATGGAGGGAACACCTCATACCATATTTTTAGGTATTACCTTGATGCCAAAATCAGGTTAGAACAGAAGATAACCATATCACCAATGTTCCTCATGAATATATGAAAAAAAAATCCTTAAAGTATTAGCAAGTCAAATCCAGAAATGCACAGAAAGGACAATACACTGTGACCAAGAATTCAAGACCGGTGTAACATATGAAAATCAATGTAAGTCACCACAGTAACAGGAAAAAAAGAACCAAAATCCACCACATAACCATTTTAATAAATACAGAAAATGCATTTGACCAAATTCTTCATTCATTCATGGTAAAAACTCTCAATACATTTGAAGTAGAAGGAAACCTGTTAATTTTTTGATAATGGGCAATTATAAAAAACAAAGAAGCTAACATATTAATGGTGAGCAACTTTTTTTTTAAATTGGAGGATAATTGCTTTACAATGATGTGTTAGTTTCTGCCATACAATAATGTGAATCAGCCATAAGTATATACATGCCCACTCCCCCTTGAACCTCCATCCCACTTCTCTAGATCGTCAAAGAGCATGGGGTTGAGCTCCCTGTGTTATACAGCAGCTTCCCACGAGCTGTTTTATGCATGGTAGTGTGTATGTTTCAATGCTACTGTGTATGTTTCAATTCATGCCACTCTCTCCATCCCCTGCCGTGACAGTGCCCAATTAAACGTTTTATCCCTAAGATCAGGAATAAGAAAAAGAATGGCATCTCTCATTTAATACTGAAATTAGCTAGTGTAAGAGAAGAAAATGTCATGAATTATAAAAAAAAAATGAAATAAGTAAAACTACCTGAAACCAACATGTTAGTCTATGTTGAAATTCCTAAGGAATCTACAAAAACTACTAGATTTAACTGAATTTAGCAAGAGTGGGATACAGTCAACATACAAAAGTCAATTGTATTTCAAAGTGTAAGCAACAATTGGAAATGAAAAAAATTTAAATACCACTTTCAATATTGTTAAAGAACATTATATCATAAAATATTTCAGAACAAACTTCACAAAAGAAATCAGCTCCCAGAATTGATGGTTACGTGTTACAGACTGCCAGTTAATAAAGGGAACTGATGAACTCATAGTTTACTCTCCCTTTGATAACTAAAGTGACCCCTTTCTAAAGTGTGCTCAGTCTTCTTTAAAAATAGCTCTTAGAGCTTGCTACTCTTTGGCTGAACAGTACATCCCCACTATAAAATATTAAATAACATTGTAACATTTCACATTATAACATTTAAGATCAGTTTGTCTCCTGATTTCATGTATCATAATGTATCTAAAGAAAATATTTTCCAAGCTCTTCCCCCTTTCCTGGACATTACTGCATACTAGAAAAAGTCTTGTGGTCACTCATTTTCTAACTGGTAGCCATACAAAATTTAAACAATGTTCTCAAAATGGGCTTGGCGGCTACCATGAATTGTGTCTAAGCATTTACAAAAACTGTATCTTTGTTGTTACAAATTAGTTTTGTTTCTTCTTTACAACAATCAAACCATTATGTTGATTTTTGTAAAAAAAAAAGTTAGAAAACACTTCCTATAAAGTTCATTTAGGATAACAAAGGGAGCACCAAAAAGCACTTAACAGAAAGGGAAACTAGGTTTGATGGTGTTGAGAACACTACATTTTCAATTTGGTCTTCATTTTCTAAAGAACCCTCTTTGAGCAACTGTACTTTGGAATAATACAGCTTGAACTAAAATACACACACACACACACACAACAAAACCCAACCACTAGGGTTTATGATTATCTAGAACTCTTAAGTGACATACTGAATTCTCTGGGGTGAGAGGTCTAGAAAACTAGCAAACCAGGTGATTCTAGTAAAGTGAAAATTTGAAAACCCCCTATCTAAATCTTTATGCTTTCTTTATAGTCCAAGTCTCACATCCGTACATGACTACTGGAAAAACCATAGCTTTGATGAGATCTAAATCTGAGTTTAACTGCAACACATGTGGCCTCAACAAAACCAGTTTTGTTTGGCCTACAGAAAGGGTCCACACCGAGTACGTGTTAATTACTTGCCAATATTTAATACTAGAGAAATGTTACATTTCTCCAGACCTCAGACTTCTCATTAAAAGTTAAAGATCCTCCAACCCTGGCCCTGCCCTATCACAGGACAACCAGCTGGAGCTAAGTAGAGCTTGCTCCCTTCCTTTCTCTCCCACATTCCCTATTTTACCCAAGCCTTCTAGTTCCCCATCTCAGTTACTTGCTTAGCTCCTGACAGGATTGTGGTTTGACCTTTGATGCCTGTCCCCACAAGTTCATTAGGAGGAGGAGAACAGAGATAATGAACCCTATTTACAGTTGATCCTTGAACAAGCTGGGGGTTAGGGGTGCTGACACTTGTGCAGTTGAAAATTCAAATATAACTTACCGTTGACCTTCCCCATGCCAGTTCTGCATCCTTGGATTCAACCCATGACAAATCATGTACTACTCTAGTATTTACTACTGAAAAAAATCTGTGTATTAGTGCACCCTTGCAGTTCAAACCATGCTGCTTAAGGGTTAACTGTGGTTCTGAAATAAATTGTCTATTAACTTTTGCTACAGCTAGTATTAGAATAAGTCTGCAAGGAGAGAGAAGGGAGAAAATATTCAAGTTATTAAGACTCAACATAGTATTCTTAATTTATTGAAGATAATCCTAACTTTTTTTCTTTAGCAATATATGCAGAAGTATTGGTTTGTAAAAGACATCTTCCTCAGTATAAAAAAAAAAACAAAAACATTACCTTCCAATTTAAAAGCTTTCCTGAACTCTGGCTTACAATACAAACACAAAGATAAAAAATATTTGGAGACTGCAACATTTTGAGAACTTTATAATTGCAAACTTGCTTCAGAATTGAGGATCAGAGCTTTTATTACTCATGTTCTCATTCATTCAGATCTAAATCTCAAGCCCTGAAATACAATACATCTTAATTCTAGAATTATGCAAAATTCAGATCCTAATTGGTTACTAGCCATTTTAAACATTTAAAATATAAATAAAAGAAACCTTTAAATGTGTCTAAAAATTAAGAACTAAAATTTTAAGTTTCACCTGTACTAACTTTCCAACAGGTGGGCCATGTCAAGAGCAAATTAGCATGAAGGCTCTGAGATTTTTACCCTACTTGCAAACTAACAAAGTACTAGCTGACCGTGGAAGATGGGAGAAGGCATGAGACTGGTGAATCAGAGACAAAGGGCAGTTTATTACTTCCAGTAATAACATAAGCCAAAGCATCAACACTTCAGCACTGGTTCCCAGAGCCCCAGTTCACCTGGCAAGATGAAGAGGGTCAGTTGAACTTGCCTAAGCAACACAAGCAATGGGCTGTGTTGCAGGAGAGGAAGCCCAAGTTTAGGGAACCCTAATCTTTTATGATGGGCAATAAGCATGCCTGCCTTCTACTCCGGGAGACATTGATCTGTTACTATTGCACCATATACATGGTTCCTCTTTGCTGTGATGGTAGACACTGTCTCTACCATACAAGGCTTTCCCTTATACAAACATCCTTTAAAAACAGAAACAAAGGGCAGTCAGTCAGTACCTCCCCTGGCAAGCTCTGCAGAAACAGCCGGACCCATGGAAAACTGTCTTTCAACTAGACACTGTTCCTTACATATAAATAAATCAAGAGTCTAACACTGCAACCTATTTAAAAGCATCAATTTCATGTGTTCTTTGATCTAGCTCAATTATTTAATTAGCAATTTTTCTCTAACTACATCAACTAGTCCCTTTTAAAAAGGCAGTATATGTAAAACCGAATTGTTTCCGGTTACTTTTTCTTTTTTAAAGGGAGGTGCTCAAATATTCGCCATGTAAACGTTTAAAACCTCAATTATTCTACTACAATTTACTGTGCTTACTTCAACTTTGTGTTTCAAAACCTGTTAACGTTAGCAATGGGACCTACCTGTCAAAAGTCTCATTATACGATAACAAACACCACAAAGAGAGCAGTAACTTCAATATTTCCAGCTGCTGTCCACAAAATCCAAGAAAATGCCGCACTCCAAATCACTTTTTTTCTATTTGTCTTCACCATTTACCGTCTCAGAACAAAATCTCCCAAAGAGAAGCACCACAAAACACCGTCTCTTAGTCCCTTTGTCCCCATCACTGAGGGCTCATCAAGGTAAATAACCCAAAACACGCAAGACAAAAAAACAAAAAACAGAATCCGATATGTAACCAAAGAAAAGTCCCCACCACCGCATCTTCATCCCTCCCTTCCCCTCGCCAGCTCAAATAACGTGGGTACAGACGAGATGATTAGGATCACCTGGACAAAGCTGCGGGGAGGCAGAGGGTAGCGGTTAACTAGATGCAGCCGGCAAAGGGCCGGAGAGAGACAACCAGTGCACTCCGACAGAGGTTTACAAAAGTATGGGTTGCACGGGCCACGCAGCCAGGAGGAGAAGGCTGGGGGGCGGGAGGGTGGGAGCAGCAGCTCGGCCAAGTCCACAGCGCCGGGGGAAGTTGCTCGCGGGGCGCGCGGACGCCGCAGGGCGCGCGGGCCCTCCATGTCACCGCCGCCAGCACAGACCCTCCTCGCCCCTCCCCCGCCGAGCACCCCGGGCGGCGGCGACGTGACAGCGGGTCGCCGCGCCGCCCCGGGGCGCCGGCCTCCCCACCCCACCCTACCCTCCCCTCCCGCCTCTCACCTTGGGTCGCGAACGGCGAGGAGCCGCTGACCGGCGAGCCGGGGGCGGGGACCGGCGGCGGGGTTTCGGCGGAGCCCAGCATGGGCGCTGGCAGCATGAGGTAGCGCTGGGGCGCGGGCAGGCAGCGCTGGCAGAAGGAGTGCAGGCAAGGCAGCAGCTTGGGCGCCCGGCTCTGGATGTTCTGGTGGCACACGGCGCAAGTGTCCAACAGGTTGAGCCGGGCCGCCTCGCCTCCGCGCTCCGAGTCGGGGCCCTGGCGACTCTCGGCCTCGTTCTCCCCGCTCGGCGCCGCTGAGGGCCCCCCGGCGGACGCCGCCGAAGCGGCCGCGGCCGCCGTCGCCGCCTTCTCCACAGCCACCTCCATTGTCCTGCCCCCGCCGCCGCCGCTGACGCCGGGAAAGGGGGAGCGCGTTCTCGGCCCGCCGCCGCCCGCGATAGACCTCCTTTTCCTCCTCCTCCTAGGCCGCTCCGCTGACCCGCAGGAGAGGGAGGGACGGAGGCGCGGGCCGAGGAAGCCTCCTCAGGCCCCGGGGATCCGCCTCCCGGGTGGCGCGGCCGGAAGAAGAGGATCTGTCAGCGGGGACTGCTCTTCGCATCGGGGAGGTTGCGCCCGGTTCGCTTCGCCAACCGCCGCGGCGCTCGTCGAATCCGCCCAGCCCGCCCTCGCCTCCCCGCCTTTCTCTGGGGCCCGCGAGCCCCACCTCAGGCCACGCCCCCGCCCTCCCTCTCCCAGCAACCGAAGAGAAGGCAGGGAGAGAGCCGTCCTATCCAGCCGCGTCTGATCGGCGGGCGGGGCCTGCCGAAGCCCGCGAGGCTCAGACAGCTGCGGCGGGAGGCTGGGAGGTGGGAGGGCGCTTGCCCAGCCCCGCCCCCCGAGCTCCGGGAACCGCGGCCTCTGATTGGTCCTTTGTGTGTGTTTCAGTTCAGTGTGTTTAGCTCCCCTAAAAAGATTAAGCGTTTATTTGTTAACGATCGACCACAGAATTCGGCCCGACTGTGTTAGCTCCTCCTATGGGGCGGGGCTTCACAGTGTCTACCCAAAGCTGTTAATTAACTGCTTGGAAAAACTATTTACTACTGCGGACAGAGGTCCTGTAGGAGGAGTAAATATGGTGGGAGGGTCGAAGGATAACTAAGTCGAGTGAAGAGCAAAGGGAAGAATTTTTCAAAAAGGGAAAATGTATAGAAAAGATATTGTGGAAGTAGCATGGATTTTGCCACCTGGATTTACTAATCTCTGTGATAAGCGGGGAGGTTCTTTTGAAAGTCCGAAAATTTTAAAGGTTTTCCCCATGAAAAAGGTGAAATTAATTTTTAAATAAAGTCAGTGATTTGCTTTTTAGGTGAATAAAGCTGATTTATTATTCAAGGGATTAACGAAGACTTTTATTGCATAAATATGGCATCATTACAAGAAAAGGAAATAAATGTCAATACTGATATCCAAATAATTCTAAAACATTTTTTCATTTCCCCAAACCCCCACCGCCCCTCCCCTCCCCACCCCCACACACAAACTTAGATCAGAAGTTACAGTATTTTCAACTTAAAAATGGCCACACTTTACAAAAGTATAGAAATAGGGTAGGGGAAAGAAGCCTCTGTACACACATGACTGTAAGAAAAAAAAGCTGTATGGAAATGCCATTTTAAAGAATACATAAAGTGATGCTGGACCTTTGCAGAGAGTAGGATGGGGTCAGAATAGGCTTTGTTCAAATGGAAATGATCCTGTGTAGAGAAATAGTAGCCAAGATGGCGAGAGTCAGGCTCTCTTGCCCTCCTTCGTGTAAAAAACAACTCTACATGGTTATGTAACAGCTGAGATCATCTATAGCAATGCACACGTGCATTATGATGCAATAACTTGCCAAACTGCCACCTTTGTTTCTGTATACCAATATTAAGCCCACCTAAAACATCCCTTGCTGCTGCGTCAGCCACTGCGAATAAAGCATGTCTGTATTATGTTCGCTGTCCGAATCCCCCAGCAGGAAAAGAGAAGACCTCCATGACAATGCAACACGCAAAGGAAGGGAAATTTATTGCTGACTCGAGCCAGGGCCCCTGCTGCAACCAACGCAGTGGTGCAAAGTCAGAGAGCCCCAAGCCCCAGTTTCCACGCACATTTATAGGGTGCTCGATTTCAAACATAAGCAGTGGGTAGTGGGCGCAAGTTGGTTACATGTTTGCAAAGCAATTTTATTGGTACAAACTTTCGCGCACGTGGAACTTTCCAGGGGACCTTCTTAGAGGTTTACTGAGCGCGTACTGATTAGCTGGTCTCTGGTGGCCTGTTGAGGGCAGATAATTACCCTACCCTTGGGAGAAACTGAAACTTAGGCCTACTCTTAGTTCAGGGCGCCTGTCATGGTGCTAGTCTTGACAGTCTCACATTCCCCCCTGTCTTGTTGTTCCCGTAGAGGAATCTTTCTCTTTACCATCTTGGGCCACTGGCTGATATTGCTGTCTCAACACCATAATCTGAATGGTGTTTATATGTTCTTTAATAAATGACATTAGCCGGTTTAAGATACAAGGGCCAAATGTCAGCATCAATATCAACACTATGAGTGGGCCCAGGAGGGTGGAGACCAAGGTGGTCAGCCAGGGGGAGTGTTGAAACCAAGATTCAAACCATCCCTGTTGGGCCTCTCGTTCCCTCTTTCGCTGTGCAAGTCCCTCTTACTTTTGCCATAGATTCTCTCACCACTCCTGTGTGGTCCGCACGGAAACAGCATTCTCCCAGAGCCCCCCAGACCCCACCCTGTTGGAGAAAGATTAAGTCTAACCCTCCTATTTTGCAAAACCACTTCAGATAAGGATGTCAAAGACTTTTCTAATTGACTGATTCTTCTATGCGGACTATGTCTTCATCTATAGCGGCCCGCAGGGAGGAGAGCCCTTGGCCCTGCAGATAATGAGGCTATTCCTGTCCCCGCTCCTGCCAGTCCGAGGCTGAACAGGGCTGCCACAGTGATTGCGCTAATGGCTCTCGTTTCTGTCTTAGTACTTCCCGGTCCCAATGTGAGTACCTTACCTCCTCAGAATGGTATAGGATCTTTGGCATCACAGTGACGAGAACACAGAATTCTTGGCTCGGGTTAAAAACCTTCATATTTGAACATGGTGTTAGCTCCGTGTGTGAACAAACCCACCATCTCCCGACTTCCGGCACTAGCCAATTTTTGCCAGGTAAGCTGATATTACCAATAGTCTGATCTCAAAGAGAGGTCTTATCCCTTGGTACTGTGCCCAAACAGACCCCCTGTCCCCATATCTCTTCCATCGTGAGGCCTATCTTATGCTCTTCCCACCGGCATTGAGGGGGGTTGGGGTCTGAAGACAAGTTGTAGGAGACGTTGAGGCCTATGGCCTCATAGAAGGGGGGCGGAGGTTACAACAGAGCCAGCAGGATGGGTCGCATTTGGGTCAGTATGGTTTAGAGCCATAAAAGGGCATTTACTATGCCCCATAGGGGGTCTTGAGTTACTGAGCTAGCAGTTACAGTTAGATGGCCCGGGGTGTTTGTCAGATTACCTCCGGTGCCTGGGGTAGAGGAGGTGCTGTTTGACCTCGAGTCTGGCCCGGAGGTGGTCGTCTTAGGGGTCGTCTTGTGCCCTGGTGCTGTTTTGACCAGGTTGGGACCCAGACTATGTACCTGTACCTGCTCAATCACCTGTTTAATGGTCAAGAGCTCTCCTGGGTAAGAAGCCACATGAAGCTGTAAGCCCCAAGTTAGCCCTGCGGTCCAGCGGCTTTCCTTTTTTGCTCGGTCCTGGTTGAACTGTACCCGTACAAAAGGCCCTTGGTGTTTGGAATCACTAAAGGTGAATCTAACTAGATCTCTGTTCCCGACATCCCACCTCCGGGGCCCATCACACGAAGTTACACAGCTCCAGCTTGCACAGTAATAGCTTTCCATACCCCCACAAGTTTTTCAATTACCTCTAATGTTGCCTGGGCAAGTGTAAAACCCAGGAAGGTCCCCCACTCCATAGGTGTGGGCGTATGCATCCTCCATATGTCCACCCAGGCTTCCATATAGCGGAATGTGTAGCCCGACCCGGCGTACAAAGAGTCTGCTGAGGTTAAAGTACAGTTCTGGCCAGTGTTGAGAGGGTGGATTCCTGAGGTTTCGTTGATCACCTCGTGGGTCTGTCCGTCGCTGAGCTTCTAGGTGATCTTGAATGGTTGGTGTGGATTGGATATCCCCGGGTTGATGAGAATTGCCACCAGTAGGAGACTCAGGAGGCCTCTCATCGGACGAGTTTCAGTTTCAAAGGATTTGACGGGTGAGGACTTGCCTTCCATTCTGCTCGCGCTCTTTCCTGTTCCTACGGAGTAGCTTCCGCACGTGATTGCAGTGAACCCAGGGTCCGATCCCATCAACCTTAATGGCGGTAGGGGTGGTAAGGACAACAACATAAGGGCCTTTCCATCTAGGTTCTAATACTTTAGATTGGTGCCCTTTTACCCAAACCCAGTCACCTGGGCCAATATTATGTGCGGGGATGGCCCCATTGCTTTGACCCTCATGTATCTCTCGAATCAATTTCCAAACATGGTTATGCACCTTACTTAATGCCATCAGAGTTTGCTGGAATTATCCCAAAGTAGGGGGTGGCATGCACTTTCCCTCGAAAATAGGACACACAGGAGGTTGTCTTCTATACAGAATTTCAAAAGGGGTAAGATTCAGCTTATAAGAGGTGTTATGCGCCCGAAAGCGTGCGAAGGGAAGGAGGGTCACCCAGTCTCCGCCAGTCTCTATTGCCAACTTTGTCAAAGTTTCTTTTAGGGTCTGATTCATTCTCTCAACCTGTCCTGAGCTCTGGGGATTATATTCACAATGTAACTTCCATTTTGTCCCCAGAGCTTGGGCCAGCCCTTGTACAATCTGGCTCACAAAGGCAGGTCCGTTATCAGAGCCCATAGTGACTGGCAGCCCATACCTAGGCACTATCTCTTCTAAGATCTTTTTAGCAACCACTATTGCTGTCTCTCCCTTAGTGGGGAAGGCTTCTACCCACCCCGAGAAGATATCTACCAGAACCAACATATAGCGATACCCGTACTTGCCTGGCCTTACCTCAGTGAAATCTATCTCCCAGTGTTGCCCTGGCTCTTCCCCTCGGTACCTCGTTCCCGTGTGCTGCTTTTTTCCTGTCCTCATCAGCTGGCATGCTTTGCAAGCCTGGATTATCTCTCGTACAGTTGCATTTTGTCGAGGGAACCTCAGGCAGGCCGTCTGTAGAAGTGTTAAGGTCTTTTTCTCTCCCAGGTGTGTAGTTGTGTGCAGGTGTTCACACAGGTGACGACCCAGGGTGGCAGGCAATATCAGGTTGTTGTTTTGGTCTCGGT